AATTTTTTTTCTCTTTTCAAAGAGAAAAATGAACTGAGGGGGAAGGAGTGGGCAGGGAGGAAAATGGGCAACAATGAATGAATGGGGGAAAAATGAAATTGGAAAAATATGCTATAAAAAAAGAATATAATATTGTCCTATTTAAAACAAAAAACAGATGATCAAAACTTAGTTAATTCATGACGTTCCAGGGTTTTCTTGTCGATTTGAGATATGAAACTATGAAATTATCTTATAGAGACTTTGTATCCCACTAGGTAGCTAACTGAATTGCCATAATTAAGAATTGAGATTAGTATATAATTTCTCCAAGGAATTTTCTTCTAACTTTACATATCTCAAACCATTAAGAGTTCAGATTTCAAACTGCCATGCACTTCGTAGTTAAACTGTGTAACATCTTTAAGTTCAACCATATATAGAGCTACTCAATGACATTTTTCAAAAGTGTTTAAAAAATAAAATTACTTTGTTAGTCACAGTGTTGATTGCCAGAGTTGGAGAGGCACTTCCCGAAATAATGCACTCCATTCCCAAAGAATCTGAATCTATGCTATATGGAGTTGAGGCCTAAAATACAAGAACAAAATAAGTCATTATTAGCTTATATACTCAGCAACCTGAACAAATTTTGAAGACATTTTATCAAAATTTCCAACAACCAGTTCTTTCCTGTTTCTGATAATGAACATAAATGGACATTAAAATCTTTTTTTACTATATTTTAGTAAGCTATTGATCTGCTATCACAAAGTCCTTTTTTATGGCTACATTCAAGCAGCTGTGACTGGCTGTGCAATAATTTGTTAAAAAACTGCTGATCTATTTCTATAATGGAGACTACTACTGGTCTTCTTTCCTCTACCCCCCCTCCTTTTATTCCCCTTTCCTCCCTTTTAGTAACAGAGTCCAACAGTTAAAAATTTAGCTAGAGAAATTTTTACTAATTGGAGATGCTCAGCTAAAGTATGGAAAAATAGAGGAAGCAGGAGTGAGGGGTACAACTTTTGAGTTGTACTTTAAAAAGGAACACCCTCCATTCTCTCTCTCATTACAGGCTAAAAAAACAGAATAGGTGGAAGTAATCTTACTTACTTAAACTGAGGGTAAAAGCCAGAAAAATCAAGATTAGAAGAACACAGATATCTGAATGACCTTATGGAACAAAGCTCTTTATTCCTCTGACATATCTATTAAGTTCTCAGAAACTCAGTGCTTTCAAGTAGAAATCAGCTCATAGCTGACCTTGCAGCAGGCTTTCGGAGACTATAAATTGCACAGGAGGATACTTCTAATACTTTTCCCTTGGAGCAGGTGGTGGATTTCACCGGCCAGAATCACAGTCTTTGCATTAGTAGCACAATCGTCCCCAGGGATGATTCCACCACAGCTCCCTAATATACCTATAATGGTGCATTTTACCTAAGAAAGAAAGGGTTTTTTCTAATTTCATCCTCTCATTTCAGGTTTTTCTTTCTATGACTGCTAGAATAATCAAATATTACCCTGGCTATGATGAGATGCGTGGTAATGCATCTGTAATAGCACTAATATGTTAAAAAACCAATATAGGAGAATTTTTGCATTTATTGAGGATTTCAGATATAGATTGTGGTAAAAATATTTCCCTCTCTAAAGAAACATTATCTTCTTAAGCAAACCTTCAAGAAAGCTAAAATTTGATCTTAAAAAACATTAAAAAGATCATACTATACAAACACTGTCTAAGGGTTTGTTTATCACAGTAATGTCAGTAGTTTGAATCCCCCAGGTGCTGAGAGACAGATAAGGCAGTCTGTTTCCATAAACATTTACAATCTTAGAAACCTTATGAGTTGCAATAGGCCCGTGTTTTGTTTTATATTATTACAGAGTAATAAAGATAATAAATTCATGGAAAAAATTTCCAAGATTAATTTATTAGTACTTTATCTCTTTTGTACATTCCAATGTTTTACTTAATAATCTACACATTCTTGGCCAGTTGATCCTTCCAAAAAGGTACTTTTATAAGCCTGTTATGCTAACTTTTTTATAAGTTACTGTACAAAATCAGCAGAGCATGCTTACAAAAATACTTTCGGGAGAAGGCAGGAATGGCAAAGGAAAGAATGTGAGTTATTTGGTTATTTGAGTAAATATATGGTAGCCTACCAAGAGGTGCACTGCAAAGCGGACTGGGGAGGGGAAAGAAGGGGGAGGTAAGAAAATGTGTAACAATGAATGAATTAAAAAAACAAGCCATCACACAAAACTCAAGTAAGAAACAAAGAAAAGACGGTAACCGAATCAGTGACAGGACTTAACGTGCTTAAGAGCAAGGATGCCACTATGAAGACTTAGGTGCACGGGGCCCCAAGTTACAGTATTTTCAGTCATCTAATATTTAGGGAGCTCTGAGGGCTCAAAGCACTGCCAGTGCAAAGGCACATAATTTTAATGCATTTTCCTTGGGCAAAAGATGGGCTATCTCCTTCTACACAATTTACTGTCTCTGAAAATCAAGGCAGTGCCAACTATTAGCCAGCTGTGACTCTATGATACACAACAACAACATTTTAATGTAAAAGTTGGACAAAGAATAACGAAGACTAAAGAACTGACATCTCTGAACTATGCTGTTGGTAAATCATATTGAATATGCTACCATGGACTGTCAAAAGAACAAACAAATATGTCTTAGAAAAATGTAGCCAGCAAACTACTCAGCTGCAAGACATGATTTCATATACTTTGGTACTCTGTTAGAGAGCCAGTCCCTGAAAGATAGCATGTTTGGTAAGGTGGAGGGTAAGTAAGAAAAGAGGAAGTGGTACCACAACAATGGGTTCAAATATTGCAGATCAGAACCAATTTTAGAGATAAAGAATCAACTGGGTAACACACTTAACAACAATTATCAATATGGATGTATAAACATCTTAATCAATTTTAACAAAGGAAAAGACTAAAGTCATTCCTAGAAGCTAGATCGCAGCACTTGGGTTATGGTTACATATTGACAAAGACAGCAAAAATGAAAAAGTGAGCGGTTCATGTAATTATTTAAAAGCTTCAATGAAAAGTTTGCATTCTTCCTGGATGATACCTTTGACATCCTCCCACAACTCATCTGGTCTTCGCTCATTAGTGTTCAAGGCCTCAAACCCGTTC